TTGATTCGTACCCGATTCATAGCGACCCCTCCTTGGGTTTCCGAGGCAGTATCACTACGGAAGTAGATTGCCCAACCTTCCTTCCGAAGAGTGGCTGGTGGGTTTGAACCGCCAGCCTTCTGGTTAGCAGTCAAGTGCCTTAGGCACTATGCTACCAGAGCTCCTTACAACTCCCAAAACTGGTTTAACTAAATGAGCAATCCTCTCCAACCTCTTCCCTCCCACCCTCACTGGACTTCCTATTGGTGGCAAAAAATACTAGATCAAGGTGGGGTGTGCAGTGACTAGGTAGAGCTGGGCACATTTATTAACCTGGCATCTGATCTGAGTTGGCCAAGAAATGATTAGGCAAGGAGTGTTCTTGGCCAGAGCCTCTTCAGCTGCCTGCCCAGGCCAGGAGACTGAACCCAGGTGAGGAGTGTTTGTTTCTTCCCATTCCACCACAGCAGGATAGCATATTTTATGATGCATCAGATAAGGCTTCTGTAACATCTACCTAAACATTGCTTAAATCTTTTGATTCTCAGCCACTTGACTATGTCCAAGAGCACAAATTACAGAAAGAGAGTGGTATGGGGTGAATTTCATACAAGTTTGTTTCCACATCTGATGCTGTTCCTTTTAGGTTCAGAGTGAAAAAGGGAGTAGCAATTTTGGGATACCAAACCAAAATCACAACTGTTGAGTTGGATCCGACTCATAGTGACCCCTCCTTGGGTTTCTGAGGCAGTATCACTATGGAAGTGGATTGCCCAGTCTTCCTTCTGAGGAGCAGCTGGTGGGTTTGAACTGCCAGCTTTCTGGTTAGCAGTCAAGTGCCTTAGGCATTACGTCACCAGAGCTTCTTGGGAGCTTTGGGATAGCAGTGGAGAATGTCACAGTTGTTGGCTCTCCTTAGTCCTTAAAGAGCTGTAGGTATCCAAGGACAGTTGCTGGGGTGGGGCCGGGTTAGAACTTTTGTCTTATATACAGATATATGTTCCTTTTCCACTCTTCCTTCCTCCCAGCTCTTCCTCTGGTACTGTGAGGTACACATTCCATTTGTAGAGTGTCACATCCTCCCTCAGCTTGGTAAAAGTAGCTAATAAAGATGGGGAGGAGAGCAGGATAGAAAAGGAGAGGCTAGATGGGGAGGGAGGTATAGAGGCACTACCCAGAAAGGAGATGAAGGCAGAAATAGAAAGTTAGAAAGAGTGAAGTGAAAGGGGATTCTCACTGTTGGTAGATGTGGAATTAATGGTGAAGGAGCCTGGGTAACAGAAAAAAAAAAAAAGAAGTGGCTGGATATGGAGAGGAGGAGGAGAAGAAAAGGACATGTTCTGAGTGTTGGTAAAATAAAAACAACCAGTTGCCATCAACTGGCAAACATTGCTCTGCAGGTGGATAGGTGGGTGGACAGGCTGAACAATTAGGAATGTCTGTGCAGGGGGGAGTGTGCCCATGACCATGCATAGGGTCAGCAGACAATGTTTCTACAAGTATATTTGTGTGTAGTGCAAGAATTTCTAGGTATATAGTAGAGCTGACAAGGGACAAGATTGTAGTCGCTTCTTGGCCACAGCCAGCTACCTGAAAGAAACGAGTACTTGGACCTGTGGGCTTCGGACCATGGTTTCAGGGGACATCAAGCTCAATTGACATAGCATACTACACAAAAACATTGTTCCATGTCCTACTTTGATGAGTAGCGACTGGGATCTTAAAAGCTTGCAAGTAGCCATCTAGATGCAACAATGGATCTCTTCTCGTCCAGAGCAAAGAAGAATGAAGAAAACCAAAGACACATGGAAACAATTAGTCCAAGAGACTGGTATATCATGTGATCCTCACCCTATATGACTATGAAACCAGAAGAACTAGATGGTGCCTGGCTACCACTGCCAACCACTCAGAGGGGGAATCTATGTAGGAGAGCCTAGATAGAGTGGGAGAAAAATGGGGAACAAAACTGAAAATCATAAAAAAAAATAAAAGGGACCAGATTTGCTGGTCTGATAGAGCCTGGTGGAACCCTTGAGACTATGGCCCCTAGCTGCCCTTCAGGTCTGGAATTGAACCTACTCCTGTGGCTTCCAGGCAACCAAAAGACAGACATGAGAGCTGAACATTTACATTAGGTAGACACACTCCTTGGAGAGATCAGTCATGGGAGAATAGAAGGGCTGTGTGTGTACAGGGAGATAGCTCGGGGGGGCAGAAGTACATGGGAGGGAAGGACACAGGGAAGAGGTGGCTATGGGGAGGAAGTGGGAGGAGAGCTGTTACATTGTGGGAGATTGCAGTCAATGTCATGAGACAAAGTATATGTGAACTGCTGTATAGAAAATGAATTTGCTCTGTAAATTTTGACCCAAATCACAATAAAAATTAAAAAAAACAAAACAGTTACCCTCAAGTCAATTCTGACTCATGTGAACCCATGTGTATTAGAGTAGAACTGTACTCCATAGAGTTTCCAATGGCTGGTTTTTCATATGTAGCTTACCAGGCCTTTCTTTCAGAATCATCTGGGTAGACTTGAATCTCCAGCCTTTGGGTTAGCAGCCAAGCATGTTCACCACTTGACCACCCAGGAATTCTGAGGAATACTGAAGTTGTCTTTAGAAGATCATGTGTGTCAGTTTCTAAAAGGCCAATTCATTCCTAGATATTTCATATCACTATTTTAAGAGATTAGCTTTCCCTTTAGCTGTAATTTTCAAATTCTTTAGGCAGAGAAACCTTTTTTTCAAAGAAAATACTGTGCACATGCTAATATATGATACCAAAAACCAGAACCAAACTCAGTGCCGTTGAGTTGAATCTGACTCATAGTGACCCCTCCTTGGGTTTCCAAGGTGGTGTCTCTCTAAGTAGAATCTTCCTTCTGAGGAGTGGCTGGTGGGTTGCCAGCCTTCTGGTTAGCAATCATATGCCTTAGGCACTATGCCACCAGAACTCCAAATAGATGATAGATGATGGTAATATTATAGTTGTAAGGATTCAAAACAATCTTTTTTTAAAAAAAAAAAAATTAGACTCATGAGATTAAAAAATACCAAAGTGTTAAATCAGAGTCTAATTAAAATCTAGTTTATTATAGGAGTATTTGAATTGTATGTTATTAAGAGAATCTTGATTTACATGAGCCAGTAAGTTATAAATGATAAGTTTTTAAACAGTTTTAACCTACCACTTGAGAGCATATGCCTTAATTCAACTGTTCCAGAAGCCAAAAAAGAGCAGCAGAGGGAAATTTATGTTTCAAAGTTGAGTTACTAACAATATTTAGCAACTTATCTGATTTCTTAATTTGTAGATGTAAAATTTAGAGAAAGTTGGTCAAGTGGTTCCTCGCGAGTTTAAAGCTTTTCAGTAGGAAATACAACATTGAGGTGTTTAACAGTATCATTTTAAGCAATCTCAGATACCTTAACCGTAGTAGCTGTCTGTATTAAATATTCTGTTTCAAGATAAATTTCCCATTTTTCTTGTTGAATCTAAAAATTGACAGTAAGTACCAAAACTTAAAGTAAATGATAACTCTGTGCTTTGGTGTGAAGATTCACTTTTACATAGCTTGCTTATGCACCTTATGTGCAAAGGTGCCAGCCCTTGCCTGGCTTTTAACTGGGCTTGTTATACTACACAGAGATGGACATTTTGCAGCCCTGGTTTTTTGATGCAGTGCTTTTGCTGTTGTTTGTCATCCTATCCCCTTTCCCCCATTCAGCACATGGAAACAGTAACATTTACAACAAATCCACATATATAAAGAGAGATTGTAGAAGAATCTGCACACACATCAAATCGTCAGTATCCTTAAAAATGTTCTTGTTTAAACTATCTATATAGTAGTGTAGTGCCTAAGGCGGTTCAAACCCCCATCTCCTCCATGGAGGGAAGACTGGACAGTCTACTTCCATAAAGATTTATTGCCTCAGAAACCCAAAGGGGGTCGCTATGAGTCGGAATCGACTCGATGGCAGTAACTTTTCTATATAGGATCAAAGTGACAGCAGCAACTTGAAAGATTAAATAGGATCCTTCCAGAGCAGTGAGTCTGTGTTAAAGGAGGATGAACAACTCAGAAAAGGAGGGTGAGAATGGTTGCACAACGAGAAGAATGTAGTCTGTGTCACCAAATTGTCATTGTACAAATGGTTGTATTGGTTTTTGTTCTGCAGTATATATTCCCAACAACAAAATGTATGTTTTTTTAAAGTTCTTGTTACTATTTTCTGTATAATGCAGTTGAGTTTTTTCAGTTTTTATTATTAAAAGTTTCAAGAACTGCCTTCTTTGCCATGAGACCAGAAAAACTGAATAGTGTCCGACTACCATTACTGAACATTTTGATCAAGATTTCATAGAAGAATCCTGATTGAAAGGTAGAAAATTCAGAACAGAATTTCAAATTCTCATGGACCCTACTGGAGTCAAGGAGGGTAAATGAACACCTGAAACTGTTGCCCTGGGATTATCTTTAAACTTTAAACCAAAAATACCCCCTGGAGTCATCTTAAAACCAAACAGTGGTTTAACTTATCTAGTGAAAAAGGTCTGCCTTGAGAATTATTCTCTTTAACGAAGTATCTGTGTGGGATCAAACTGACAACAGCACCTGGGAAGATTAGATAAGAACCTTAGGGGATAGTGACTTTATGTTAATGAAGGAGGAACTATCAGAAGAGGAGAGTGAGAATGATTGCACAACTTGCAAAATGTTTGTAATCAATGGCACTAAGTTGCACAGTTGGACAGTGACACCAACCTTCCCTCCCATGGCACTCTCTACTTACCTGCTGAGTTCAAGAATTCATTGCAATGATCACACAGAACTCACAGAAATACTCATGATTATGGGGTTTATTGGGAGTTCTGTTGTGCTGAACATTAGAGATGCTTAATAAAAACAAAGAGGGCAGAGCTTACAGTTTGTACATGCAAATTCAGGTAATAAAAATATTCACCCATGTCAAAAAGATAATTCTTTAATAGGCTTTTGTGTTTTGTTTTAGAATCACAAGAAGATGATGAACAGCTGGTAGCAGAAGTGGTTGAAAAATGTTCGTCTGAGATTTGCCCCAGACCCTCCGAAAATGAGGTAGCACAGCAGGCCATTGCTTCTCACTCAGTCAAGAATTTCAAAGAAGAACCTGAACATGACACTAGCAAAGTTTCCATAGTGAGGCCATTTTCGATAGAAACCAAGAGTTCCAAAGATGTCCCAGCAACTCTTGGAACCAAAACACCCCATGGATTTGTAACTGCAGTCTCAGAGGAGGGTTTGCCCTGCATTGCACCAGAAGCCATCCAGGACAAGGCAATGACAGAAGGCAGCATGAGGGTTACACTTGAGGCTCCCTCAGAAGCCGATCTAAAGATTGGAAACTCCTGTTCAGAGTCAGTACCCAGTAGAAGCAAGCTAAGAAAGCCCAAGCCTGTCTCTCTGAGGAAGAAAACAATTAGTGGAGAGTTCTCAGGGACTGAAACTATGGTGGAGGGCACTCCTCTCTCCAGAGCATCCTTTGGGGAGGTCAATGTTGATGAATTGGATGAGAACACAAATTCTTCTTGGATTGGAGTTTCCAGGATCCAGAAATTGCCCACTGAAATTAAAGAAACATCAAGTACTCCCAGCAGTGATACCAATGATTCGGGGGTCGAGCTGCTGGAAGAGTCGAGGAACTCACCTCTGAAACTTGAGTTTGCTTTCACAGAAGATGTGGAAAATGTAGAGGCCAAGAAAGCTCTTCCCAGGAAATTTGGCAGGAAACTGGGTAACAAACTGACTCCCAAGACACCAAAAGATGGCATCAGTACACCAGTAGGTGCCAAAGGTGTAGAACAGCCTACAGACCCAAAAGCAGAAGATACTCCTGTCTCCCACATGTCTTTTAAGCTGGATCCTAGTCAGTGGGATAACCCCAACTTTAATCCCTTTGGGGGCCACTCCATTCTGCAGAACTCCCCACCCCTCTCCTCTCAGGGCTCCTATCACTTTGACCCAGATAACTTTGATGAATCCATGGATCCCTTTAAACCAGCTACAACTTTACCAAGTGATGACTTTTGTTCTACCACTGGTAATCATGTTAATGAAATCTTAGAATCACCCAAGAAGGAAAAGTCGCGTTTAATAACGTGAGTGGCAGTGGGTGCTGGGTGTTCTTTTGTGTATTCTCTGTGGGTTTGGCAGCCAATTGCTTTTGGTTTTGAGGAATTTATCTTTAAGATGCAACAGGGCAGACATGAAGTATTTTTATACTGGGGCCTTTACTTTTTTGCCTAACTCTTGGGTAGAATCAGAAATACCAGAAGTTTCTGTTTTAGAATTCTGTCTTGATTTTGATGAATCCTTGACTCTTTACCCCACCTACCCTGGGCAATTTTTTTTTTTTTTTAAATTTAAATGGAGTAAGAGGAGTAGGCAAATACTTGATGGCTTTTAGAAATCCTATCTGGGCTGTGAGGAGCTCTAGTAGCATAGTGCCTAAGGCACTTGACTGCTAACCAGAAGGCTGGCGGTTCAAACCCACCAGCCACTCTTCAGAAGGAAATCTACTTCTGTAGTGATACTGCCTGGGCAACCCAAGAAGGGGTCACTATGAGTCGAGTCTGACTCAGTGGCACATAACAACAACAGCCGGGCTGTTGGGACTCATTTTATGTGCAAAATTCAGGTGTCAGTGGTAGTCATCATATGCAGATAAGACAAAAATTCCAAGCCTATAAATTACATGTCTAGCATCAGTAGCATGTGGAAAGTGGTCGGAATGGGCCTCCTGGAAGTCTTTGTACTTAAACGGATAGCTGCAATTTTTGTTGGAAATAAACCTACCATTGAGTTAGTGAGAGTTCTTATGTCTCTTTCTGTAGTTTCTGGTTCCTTCAGTAAGGATGTTAATTTCCAATAAGGATCAAGAACATTTAAAATGACCAGTTACATCTAATAAATGAGTCAGTCAGTCTTTTGTTGTGTGTTGTCCATATGTTCCCCTCCCCCTTCAGTTGTTTCTCCTGGGAAATCTGGAGCCATTTCTTTCACAAGGTCCTTGGAGTTCTCAGAGTGACTGTCACAGGCCAGCAGCCATACTCCATGTCAAGTGTCATTTTAACTTTGTGACAGACTTACACCCATTGCTGTGTAGACTATTCCAACTCATTGTGACCCTACAGGAAGGACAGAGTAGAACTACCTAGTAGGGTTTCCAAGGCTGCAAATCTTTACAGAAGCAGACTGCCTCATCTTTCTCCTGTGGAGCAGCCAGTGGGTTCAAACTGCCATCCTTTTGATTAGCAGCCAATCACTTTAAACATTGTGCCACCAGGGTACCTTTGTTAAAAAATTACTTATCACAAAGCTTAAGTTAAGTAGATAACAGTAGAGGCACAACTCATTTTATTGTGCTTTGCTATATTGAGCTTCGCAGATACTGCGTTTTTTACAAATTGAAGGTTTGTTAAGACCCTGCGTCATACAAGTTTACTGGCACCCTTTTTCCAACAGCATGTGCTCACTTCATGTCTCTGTGTCATATTTTGGTAATTGTCACAATATTTTAAACTTTTTCATAATGCTATTGCACACATTTAGGAGCTCTCTGGCATAGTGGTTAAAGCAATTTGGCTGCTAACCAAAAAGTCAGCAGTTTGAATCCACCAGCCACTCTGCGGAAGAAATACGAGGCAGTCTGCTTATGTAAACATTTACAGCATTGAAAACCCTGTGGGGCAGTTCCACTCTGTCCTAAAGGGTCTCTGTGAGTCAGACTTGACTCTATGGCAGTGGGGTTTCTTTGTTTGTTTTATTGCATACTTAATAGACTATGGTATAGTATAAACGTAACTTTTATATGCACTGGGAAACCAAAAAATTTGTGTGACTCACTTTATTGCAGTATTTGCTTCATTGCAGTGGTCTGGAACTGAGCCCACAGTATATCCAAGGTATGCCTGTATGACCCTTTGTACCTCTATGACTTTTTACTAAAAATTAGTTACAAAGAAGGACCAATGACATGGTAAGGAACTCTGGTGGCATACTGTCTAAGACATTTGACTGCTAATCAGAAGGTTGGCAATTCAAACCCACCAGCCACTCTGTGGAAGGAAGACTAGGCAGTCTGCTTCTGTAAAAATTTACCACCTCAGAAACCCGCAAGGGGTCACTACGAGTTGTAATCGACTCGATTGCAGTGAGGTGGTTTTGGTTTAGTGACAAGGAGGGTAAAATATGAAGAAGGAGAATGATAAAAAAGTACCATGTACCATGTTTTTAGTTGTCACTATAGATAAGGTCTCTGGATAGCGTAAATGGTTAAGTACTGAGCTAGTAACTGAAAGATTGGCAGTTCAAACCCACCCAGATGTGCCCTTGAAGAATGACCTGGTGATCTGCTTTCAAAAGATCACAGCCTTGAAAACCCTGTGGAGCAGTCTGCTCTGCACTTACAGCGTCACCATGACTCAGTTGAAATTGACTCAACTGCAGTTGGTATGGTACTGGTATAGATTAGTTGGGGAGATATTTTCAGCATTAGTATAACAAAAAATGCCAGATGGCATGGTAAATTATATGGGAGAGAAAGGGACATATCCAGAGGTTTAAAGAGAAGTTTCTGTTTCAGAGCCAAGGAAGTTAAACAGTGTAGGAAAGTAGTTGTTTAGCAACCAGAGTATCGAAAACAAAAGTTAAGAGAATGGACTGCCATTAGTAGCTCTTGATCTGTTCACTGAGTTTTGGTTATATATGAGCTGTTAGTTATACAGTTGCTGAAGAATTTTATTTTTCAAGTATCCTCAAAGTGCTGTGCTCTTTTGTGGCTTTTCAAGTTAGTTGGCTATGTCTAGACAGCACCTGGGGTATGTTGGGTATGTTGCTGCCTCGGTGCTTCCTCCCTTAATCATGGGATGTTTCTGCCTACCAAAGGAGTCGCTTGGGAGCCTTCCTTTCAGTTGCATGTTGGAGGTACATAGGCAGGACGTTCACACTTGTGAAAATTGGTAAGATGAAATTGGGGCCAAAGGGAGGGAAATGTACTCTACACTTTGTTTTCAGTAGCAAGAAGCACACTCTCCTGAATCCTGTCACTCTGACTTGTTAGCATTTTGTCCCTATTTTGGTTTTGAATTAACTTGATCTAATACACCTTACGGGTTTTTTTTCCCCTAAATCTTGTGCAATCAGAACTCTTGTCTTATTGCTAGACATCTCGTGTAACACGATTTTGGTTAGCATATCATTTCCTCTGAGGAAAGACAGGAAGTAAACATGCAGTGGTAGTAGAATCTAGTGAACAGTTACAAGTTCCGTTAACAGTTTATTTGTGGGACTTTAAAAAGATGTGTATAATTGGCTTCTCAGATTCTGTAAAATGGGGGCACCATAATATGATTGGGATTTTGTAGACCCAGTAAGATAAAGTATCTGAAATTGTGTTCAGTGTCTTAGTGATACATACTTACAGTAGATAAGAGCAGATATATATCCTTTTATTCATGCATTGCCTTTGATCTAAATACCTAAACATTTAAGAGTAAATGTGCCCAGCAGTGAAATACTGTTTTTATGTATTTACAAATATTTGGAAGTTTACTTCCCATCTATAGGTCTATGTGATATTCCTGAGTGTTGCTACCACTCTCTTAATTGGGTTAAGAGTTGAGGTTCCTGATAATCATTCACTCACCAGTAATAACATGCATGAATATGCCATTTTTAATTTGTATCTCACTTCATAGAAAGAACTTTGCAATCTTTACATCTTACCAGACTAGAGAGAAAATATTCCAGTCTTCACATGATTTTTTTTCTCCATCTGTCTCTTTCCCGTCTAATTTTGTTGGTGCCTCAGGACTACTGAACAAGTGAAATTTCTCTGTTTTCTGTTGTAAGTACTCTTGCCATTGTTTCTCCTTGTCTCTGGGACTGTTGACAGTTTCCTCCCTGACTTGTTCCCAGACCATCTCTCCATAGCATGTGGCTTCCATTTCTGAGTTTGATCTGATTATTTTTTTTGCATTTCATTTGCCACGTCATGAGTCAGCTTAGCCTTGCAATTATCTGTACCTAAAGTAGTGGAAAGCAGCCCACCTTAGGTGCGAGAGCTTGCGCTCCCTGGCTTGGCACACATCACGTGGCATTTGGCAGTACTGAGCTCTGGCTTGGCCCCAGTCCAAAGATCATCATGCAGTGGTTTGAGGGACTGTTCTGCTATTTAGTGTTGGAACTAACTGGCTTTTTTGATAGGATAAGGTTGCTGGCTTGGAGCAAGGGATAAATTTAACTGAGTCAACTCAGTTTGTTTGGCGGCAAGAGGTGGCACTTAGTAAGAGTGTTAGGGAAAGACAACCATGAACTGGTAGTCCTGCACATTCTGGTAACTGTGTGCTTATCTGTTTTCCACAAATGAAGTTGTGAATATTTTTTTTTTTTCTGTCAGCATATATTTTCATTGGCAATTTTTAGTTTGTTAACAGAATCTGAATTAGTCGTCCTATGATCTCAAATTATGTGTTAGTCTAAAAATCACAAGTAGTCTGTGCTTTTCCCAGTTCTGGGCTTTTCACAGTACATGGTATTTATCTTCCTTCTTCTGACTCTGATAGGAATGGTAATAGTTTATTAAATACTTTTGTCACTTTCACATTCTTCTCTGTTAGGACACTAGTCTAGACAGGAGCTGTCTTATCAGACTTCTGAGCTTTTAGTGCAATAAAGGATTTTTAAAGAACCTAGTCAAGTGTGATCATTTTTCTATTGAATGTTAAAGCCGAGCAAGTAAGGACCAGGTGAACTGAACCTCTCTGAATGCTGAAGCTGCTTCTCTCTGAAAGGCTACTGATGGTATGTAATTAAAAAAACCATTGGGGTCAGAGAACTGATGTTTGACATCCACAGAAACCTTTTCAGAGAATGAGCTGAGCCCTAGTTCCTTGGCTTACCTTGTCCCTTGGAAGAAAAAGATTTAGAGACATAAAAGGTGTTTCCATCTCTAATATGTAGATGTACGATTTGTGCTGTATGCTTCAGCTTCTGTCTGCACATCCTGCTATCTCTGCTCCATCTCATGCCTCAAAAGTTGTCAGTGTGACCCCAAACCAACCTGTCTGTTTTCTTTCCAGGAGTGGCTGTAAGGTGAAGAAATACGAAACTCAGTCTCTTACTCTGGATGCGTGTCCTCATGTAAGTCTGTGTCTCAGATTGTTGTTGTTGTTGTTGTTGTTATGTGACGTCGAGTCGGCCCCGACTCATAGCGACCCCTCCTTGGGTTTCCGAGGCAGTATCACTACGGAAGTAGGATTGCCCAGCCTTCCTTCCGAGGAGTGGCTGGTGGGTTTGAACCGCCAGCCGTCTGGTTAGCAGGCAAGTGTCTTAGCCACTATGCTACCAGAGCTCAGATTAGTGGTCCCCAAACGAGTATACACGTGAGGTGTTTGGGGTCTTAAAGACTTTCCTCTGTGTGTCTGAATACTGAACTTTAAGAGAACCAGTTTCCAGATCCTTAATTTCTTAAAATGATCTGAGAAGGCACCTTGAGGGCAAGGGAACCCTTCTACAATTATCCTTTTCCCACTTTTATTTTTTTTAGTGAAGTTAAATCTCACTGTGGTGCATCATCACCGGGTGTGAAAACCTCAAGGGCACCAAGCAGAGGGAAGATTTGAAATATTGCTATAGGTTCTAAGAAAGTGATCCGCTCTAATGACTGGATAGCTGTTTTTGTTTTTGTTTTGTTTTGTTTTGTAAGTCAAATGGTTTTCCACTATGTTCCTTTCAACAAAATAGGAAGACTTAAGCTGTCAGCTAATGGATCATTAAAAATATTTATTTTTTTTAATTGTGATTTGGGTGAAAGTTACAGAGCAAATTCATTTTCCATGAAACAGTTCATACACATTTTGTTTCATGACATTGATTGCAATCCCCATAATGTGACAACTCTCTTCTGTTCCTCCCTGTGGTTAGCTTTTCCCTGTGGCCTTCTTTCCATTGCATTCCTGCCCTCTGAGCTATTTCCCTGTGTATACTGCCCTTCTGATCTCCCATGTTTGATTGTTGTGAAGAATGTCCCTACCTGGTGTAACTGTTCACCTTAAACACCTGCTTATTGTTTGGCTGGAAACCAGGGGAGTGAGTTTAAATCCAGGCCTGATGGGTGCCTAGGGGCCATAATCTCAGGGGTTTTAGCAGTCTTTGTCGAATCAGTAAGCCTAGTCTTTTTTATGATTTTGAGTTTTAGTCTACATTTTTGTCCTACTCTCTTCAGGACCTCCTGCACTGATCCCTTTCTGAGTGGTTGACAGTGGTAGTGGGTACCATCCAGTTCTTCTAGTCTCAGGGTCATGTAGGTTGAGGTTTGCATCGGTCCACTAGTCCCTTGGACTAATTGTTTCCATGCATCTTTGTTTTCTTCATTTTTCTTTGCTTTGAGAGAGTAATTGTTGCATCTTAGATGGCTGCTTGCAAGCCTTTAAGACCCCAGTGGCTCCTTATCAAAGTAGGATATAGAACAATATGTTTGTGTAGTATATTAAGTCAGTTGATCTTGATGTCTCTTGCATCTGTGGTTCTGAGCCTGTGGGCCCAGTGACTCACTGCCTCAGAGTGTTTGGCTGTGGTTAAGAGTTATCGTGACTTTGCCTCTTTAGCTCTATTATATGTGGACATTCTTTTATTTTCATTTATTTTATTTTAAGAGCTTGTTTTACATTCAATGTAATGTGTACATTTAGTTTCATTCCCCATTCAGCATGTCCTACCCTAACCCAGTCTCCTCCCCTCTGTACCCTGTAACCCTCCCACTGTGCCCTTCATATTTATGCATTCCTGTTTGTCCTGCATTTCCTCAGTTTCAGTGTTGGTCCTCTGGTGTCCTGTGGTCTATTGCTCTAAGAGATGTATTACCATAGAGTATATGAGTGTGTCATCCTGGGTAGAGTGGTCTGCATGTACATCTTATTAACTATTGGGCTGAGAGCCCGCCCCTGGGCGTGAGTTTTATTGCAGGCGCAGAATGTATTCCAGGGCCATAGTATTGGGAGTCTCTCCAGATTTCATCTGACCAGTAATTCTGGTCATTATTGAGTTTTTGGATTTTGTTCCACATTTTCCCTCCCACTCTATCCAGGATCTCCAGATTTGATCCTTTCCTGAGTGGTTGGCATTGGTAGCCGGGCACCATATAGTTCTTCTGTTCTCGAGGGCCATCGTGTCCTAGGGCTGATTGATTCTAAATGCCCTGTTTTGTGTGTGTGTGTGTGTGTGTTCTTCTTCACTTCCGACGCTAGGAGACCATTAGCTGCATCTTAGATGGCCGCTTAAAAGCTTTTAAGACCCCAGTCACTACTCACCAATGTAGGATGTGGAGCAATGCTTTTATGCATTTTGTTGTGCCAATTGAGTCTGGTGTCCCCCAGTACTATGGTCCTGAGGCAGTAGATCTATTAGATCTCTCTCCCATTGTGTCTGGTTATCTGTGAGGGATTACTCTGTGTCTGTCTTCTATTGTTTCTGCAAGGACTACAGGTATTTTGTATCACTGGTGTCTGTGCAAGATAGCCTCTGCTGAATCTATCCTTGGTCTAGAGTATACTTCTGTTCACTGACCCCTGTCTGATCATCTCAGGTGTTTATGTGTTTATCTGTATAGCCTAGTGTTTGGTGTTAATGGCAGTGCGGTATTGTGGACACATTGGTTGGTATTAGCATCTGTCGTCTATCTCTTATGTGCACAATTCTGTGTCCTCCCATTTCCTAATGTTATTATGGTGGTCATATATCCTTACCGTACATTCCTCCCCCTACCCATGTCAGCATGTAGGCCCCAATTAGCCCGAAATTAATCCCTCCCCTTCCCTCCCCATCCCAGTAACCTACTAGGTGAGTTCCTTTTCCCAAGAAAACTCCTCTCTGTCTTTTTATAGTAATGGGCTCATACAGTACTTGTCCTTCTGCGATTGATTTATTTCACTCAGCATAATGTGTGGACATTCTTATAGCACATACAAATACGTATGTAGAAATATTATCTGCCAAACATATAGATGGTCATGGGTATATTGCCTTTTGCCTAGACATACCTGATCATTTAGCCTGTCTGCCTTTGTATCCACCCGTAGATTAATGTTTCTTATTACTGATAATGCAGTGTTTGCATACATAAAAGTGTTTATCTTTGTTGTCTGCACCTCTTGTGCCCCTCTCTGTGTTTTCCTTTTCTTTAGTGTTATTGTGTTGGTCACTCACTTTTGGTATATTGCCTTTCCCTTCACCCAAATCAGTACTTGCCTCTTACCTATTAAAAATAATTTTTGATGATAAAATTTTTTTTGATGTTACATAACAACAAACAACGACTTGAGAAGGGTGTCAAAGAATTGAGACACATTTCTATTATAAAATTTCCTTCTATTTCATCTATTTGTTCATGTGTATACGATTTCGTATTGATGATCGTTGTAAAAATGAAAACTGGGAATATAACTAATGCTGATCTTTGCTTCTTTCTATCAGTAAATATTATTTATCATTGACTGAACCTGTGAACTAATAGGAAAACACAAAAACCAAACGCCCAAGCCTATCCAATTGCAATGAGATCCATTTTTAATAAAAATTTGCTATTGTATTTGATTGTATTTACCAAAACTTGCAGCATTTTTTAATTAAATGGTACATTAGTAATTGTAAGGATAACTCTCCAGAAGAAAAAAGTTTCATATTGAGACATTTCTGGTATTAGAATTAAAGTCTATATATTTCATAAAAATGTAAATATTTTTAATTTTTTAAACAGAAATATGAGAAGATCTTTAAAAGACTTTTATGCATACAGATGTATTTAATTAGGCTAAAATCTCCATGGAAGTGTAGTGGAAATATAAATTCAGAGAGGAAAAGGAATGATGTAAAATTTCTGACTATTAAAGAACTTATTTGTGTATTTTTCAAATGAATCACGGGTATCGAATCACTAGATTAATTGGATTACATTAAGCAAGGTCAGTATTTAGAATATGTCAGAAATGACATCCTTAGCAGTTTTACAACTTACACTGAAAAAGTTTAGATGTCAGTTGAAGTACAGTGTGGTACATGGATCTTAAAAAAAAAATGTAGGATGTACATGAGCAAAAAACTTTGAAAATCACTATCAGCTGCTTGTGTGTAAATTTACAGAAGAAAAACTTCATACTCAAATCATAGAAGTGGGTTCCAAAAAAGAGCAGTTTATGATTAAAAGACATCAGCTTCTCTCTTTGCCTTTTACCTGTATCTGTGGTTAATTATATTAAGTACCTGGGTGGAATGGTGGCCCCTTTTTCTCCATTTCTGAGATGTTACTTTCCCCCACTGTTTGCCCTACTAAAAGATAGCATCTTTTTTATTTTTTGTTATTTATTTGCTTCTATTTTTGCAATGTTTCCTTGCCTCCTCATTTCACCCCTGGTAAACTAACAAACAATGTTTCCTTACATATATAAACTTTTCCTTGATTTTTTATAATAATGAACTAATACAATATTTGTCCTTCTGTTATTGACTTATTTCACTCAGCCTAATGTCCTCCAAGTTCATCCACATTATGTGGTGTTTTGCATAGTTTACGTTATTCTTCAGTGTTGCATAGTATTCCATTGTGTGTATGTAACATAGTTTGGTTATCCATTCTTTTGTTGATGGGTACTTAGGTTGTTTCCATCTTTTTGCTGTTGTAAATAGTGCTGCAGTGAACATGGGTGTGCATATATCTGTTCTTGTCCTGGCTCTCACTTCTTTAGGCTATATACCTAGTAGTGGGATTGTGAGTCAAATGGTATTTCTAATCCATCTTTTTAAGGAATTGCCATACTGCTTTCCATACTGGTTGTATCATTTGACAGCCCTACCAGCAGTATATGAGAGTCCCAGTTTCTCCACACCCTTGCCAGCATTTGTTATTTTCTGTCTTGTTGAACTTTGCTAGATAGCATCTTTTTTATTTTTGATAATTTATTATTCAGTGAGAGTTTAAGTAGTGGATTAGGTTCCCATTTGCAGCTACACAAATTGTTCACTTACATTAGTTCCACTTTTCACAATGCGTCAGCATTGTCTTTCATTGTGTTCTGTTTGTTCAGTTTCTGGTACTCTGGTTTCCCTGCCCCCTTACCTTCTTGTCTTTGCTTTAGCATAATTGTTGACCTTTTGGTTTCATATAGATGGGTTTTTAATGGAGCACTATATTCATGGGTAATATTCTAAAAGGTAGCATCTTATCTTTTACATTTCCCAGGATGAAGGAGCAGTGATCTCCCAGATTTCTGACATTTCAAATAGGGATGGCCATGCTACTGATGAAGAGAAGCTGGCGTCCACTTCTTCTGGTCAGAAGCCAGCCGGGCTCGAGGTGAAAGGTGAGCCAGAGGAAGACCTGGAGTACTTTGAATGTTCCAATGTTCCTGTGTCTACCATAAATCATGCGTTTTCATCCTCAGAAGCAGGTATGGAAACATCTCTTCATTTTTCTAACGCACATAAGCCTAGAAATATCTGAAAGCCTGAAATAGGAAGTAACAGAGAGATTAAAGAATTAGGACAAATGACAAGGAGCTTCACTTCTTACTTTACCTAGAAAAAGATACAGAAGGGTTATGCAGAAGTAGTAGACATATGGATAAATGTGGCAGGCTGTCTAGGAGACACTGATATATGAGAATTGCTTGAATTTTCTTATACTTTTTTTTTTGAGTGTGGCCATATCCTATAGTGGCCTGAAAACATGCTGTACAGTTGACTTTTTCATGATTTACAGTTGACTTTTTATGATTATTATGCTAATTTACTTACAGAAATTGTGATAGCTAAGAGGTATAGTGCCTTACCATGTGCAGGCTTTGTTCTAAATGCTTTCTGTGAATAAGTCCTCACTAGGTATTCTTTCCCACATTTTTCTGAGAAGGAAAGTGAGGACAGAAGTAAAATAGTTCGTTCAAGGTCAGTTGGCTAGCGAATAGAAGAACTTGGATACCAACCCAAGCCGTCTGATTACATGTTTTTTCAGCCACTCTTGCTGAAGTGTAATGAGATTGTTTTCATTACATTGTTGTTGTTGTTATGTGCCATCAAGTCAGACCCAACTCATAGCTACCCCTCCTTGGGTTTCCGAGGCAGTATCACTATAGAAGTAGATTGCCCAACCTTCCTTCTGAGGAGTGGGTGGTGGGTTTGAACTGCCAGCCTTCTGGTTAGCAGTCAAGTGCCTTAGGCACTATGCTACCAGAGGCTGTTATAAATATTATAATAAATGGCATCACCTTGAGTTGGAATAGACTTGATAACAATGGGCTTTTTTTCTTTCTTTGTTTTTATTATAAATTTTCCTGCTTAAAGATGTGGCGGATTGAAATTGACCACTACCCTGTAAAACCCTTCGTAACATTCCACTGAAGCACCTAGACTAACCTGGACTGAACCCTCTTGCTATTGGACTCTTCAGAACATTCTAGAACTGCGGTTCTTTTCTGGATCCCAAGTTACACCTCTGGCCTTGTTGTTGTTGTTGTTGTTATGTGCCGTCGAGTCGGCCCTGACTCATAGCGACCCCTCCTTGGGTTTCCGAGGCAGTATCACTACGGAAGTAGGATTGCCCAACCTTCCTTCCGAGGAGTGGCTGGTGGGTTTGAACCGCCAGCCTTCTGGTTAGCAGTCAAGTGCTTTAGCCACTATGCTACCAGAGCTCCCCCTCTGGCCTTAAACATTATTAAAAACTCAGATCCTCTTCATCAGATCCTCTTCATCATTGTCATTAAATTTGAGGGTTTTATGTGTAAAGATTTTCAAAACCATGAACAGCCATCAAACCAAGGAAGCAGGTAGAAAGTCAGGACATACAGCAAGATACCCCTTATACACCCAGGCTTAAGTTTCCTGCCATAAAATAAATGTGCCAGGCATTATTCCAGGCTTCTTTCAGAACTTCTTTCTATTCTGACATTTTTCTCAAAGGCCTTGTTTGCCATTCTCCTTTGTTGTTGTTGTTGTTAGGTGCTGTCAAGTCAATTCCAACTCATAGCAACCCTATGTACAATAGAACAAAACACTGTCTAGTTAGGCACCATCCTCACAATCCTTCCTATGCTTGTGCCCATCATTGCAGCACTGTGTCAATCCATCTTGTTGAGGGCCTTCCCCTTTTTCACTGACCCTCCACTTTACTAAGCATGATATCCTTCTCCAAGGAATGGTCCCTTCTGACCACATGACCAAAGCAGGTGAGATGAAGTCTGGTGTTCTCATTTCTGAGGAGCATTCCAGTTGGACTTCTGCCAGGACAGATTTGTTCATTCTTCTGGCACTCCATGGTATTTTCAGTATTCTTCACCAGTACCACAACTCAACGGCATTGCTGTTTCTTTGTTCTTCCTTATTCTTTGTATTGCTTTCCTGTGTATATGAGGTGATTGAAAATACATGGCTTGGGTTAGGCACACCTTAGTCTTCAAAGTGACGTCTTTACTCTTCAACATCCTAATGGATGACCTCTTCCTTCTTCCTAGTTTGTCTTAGTCTGGAGGCTTCACTGAAACCTGTCGATCATGCGTGAACCCTGCTGGTGTTCAAAATACCGGAGGCCTCAGAGCAACACACAAGCCATCACAGTATGGCAAACTGACAGATGAGTGGTGGCCATTCATTCCCCTTTATGCCTCTTTATACCCCAGTTACTTGGGATTAATCCCAAGTACTCTTGTAACTGCAGTTGTTTCTTCTATTTGAAATAGCTTTCTTTGCCATTTCCTATAAAATTGCTGCCCATCCTTTCAGGTCTATCTTGAATATTCCTTGGATCCCACCCTCCTTTATGCTCCCACCATATATCTTGAACTTAGGGACTATGAGAGGTTCATCTTTGAATTTCTTCTGATGCCAGATATCTAGCAGGTACATGGTCAATATTTGATGAATTAATAATATTCTTCCCTATTAGGGGGTAATTCCTTAAACAGAAATTTCTAGAGCTTGGTTCTATTAGAAACTGTTCTGTCCTCAAAGTTAGTGAACAGCTAGCCTATGCTTTAGAGGAGCTCACCAGCTATGGGCAGAACAAATTTAAACAAGCTGTTACACTGTAACTGATAAAGCTGTGCCAAAGGGGCAGGGAGGTACCATCTTCTGACCTCCTCTAACCCCACAGGAGGAAGACAGAATCACCATCAGTAGCCCAAGGCCTGTTCCTCTGAGGCCAGACATGCTGGCTCCCTCCAGCCCTTTCACCAACCCTGACACAAACCATTCCTCCTGAAGCACCCACCACCTCTCTGCTGGGTTCAGTAATTCGCTGCAGTGGCCACACAGAACTCACAGATCATGGGGTTTATTAAGGAAGCACCAGGCTACAATTCAAGTTAAAGAACATGCTCAGTTTCTCTCAGCCCACCATCTCTCAGCCAACAGTCTCTCTCCCAGCAGTACATGTCTCTCAGTGTCTCTTGAATCTCTCTCACAGCAATGTGTATCTATCATGTCTCTCAGCTGGCAGTGAAAGGTTTCTTCTGCCTTTAGGAGGGCTCCTTTTGAGTCTGGCAGAATGGCCAAACAAACCAATCCCAACATCAAAATTCTATACACCTGAGAGAGAACAAACTTCCCAGAAAATTACTTTGTGCTACTCCCAACAGAAATACCCCAGGTGGATAACTTTAACAACCAGGAGCTACTCAGTTGCTCATGGGAAATTCCACCACAGAGTTTACAAAAACTTATGGCTAAAAAAGCCATACTATGTAATTTGCTGTCACAGGAGCAAGCAAAAGGCATGGGCATGGGCATGGGCATGGGCATGGGAGCTACTTTCATGGGTGATATGAATCAACGGTTTCCTGGGGATAGTCATCTTTGAGCTGGCTCTTAATAGTTACATAGATGTATACCAGAGAACAAGAGTCTCATACAGGGGTTGGAAGGCACATGCCATGTTCATGAAATGCCCATAGCTTTCTGGGAGTGCAGGCCTCACAGGGAATGAGGATGTACTGAGGAATTCGGGCTTGATCCTGTAGGTATGGAGGAGAAAAGTTTTTGAGTAGGTGAGTGTTTGTGTTTTAAATAATTGGCAGGTGGTACACTCTTTGAGGCAAATCTTTGCAGAGGTAGATTGCTCCGTCTTCCTTACTCTAAAATCAAATTTACTTATTGCTATATGGAAGACTGTAACTCTAAAAGTTTGTATGCTTTTTCATATTTTTAAATGTTCTGCAGTGAGCACATAGCCCTTTAATTACAAAAAGCATAGTAATGGGCTTTTTTGTTTTGTTTTTTATTACCTCTGGTAGTAGAGTGAAAGACTGAAGGCAAGGAAGCCAGGTTGAAGGGTATGGGGAGGATAGTGAATTTAGTTTTGCAAGTATTGAAGTTGTAAAGCTTTTGATCTTATGTGCTGCATTGATCAGACTGATACTACCCTTTAGGGCTGAAATTTAAATTCATTCAGAGTTGGTCATAAAATAGCATTCAGTACTACAGTTTCTAATTCTCCGATGATAAGTTTGCAGAACTTCCAGTGAACACAAGAGGGCAGCCTTGCTGTTCTTCTCACCTAAAGGTTCCCGGTTTATGGCTGACTAACTGCACTCCTCTTTCTTCTGAATATTATGGACTTTAAACAATAAGCAGCACAGTAGTCAGCTGAATGCCAGTTCTCCTTTTAAATTTTTTAAATAGTTTGGATATGTTCATTGTGTTATTCTGGCTTGCATTAGGATTTCAAGTCTTCCACTAGGAAGTAAAGGAACCTCACTTCTTGGGATAACCATAAAAATGACTCTCTGTGTTTTAGGCTTAGAGAAAGAATCGTGCCAGAAGATGGAAAAAGATGAATGTGCTGTGTCTGTAAGTCCCTAAACTTGGAGAAGGGGGATGGGGCTCACTTTTTTTCAGTATTTGTTTTCAAGCCCATGTTAATTCACTAAATAAATTTTAGTCAAAGCTAGATGATGGGCATAAAATGTAAATAAATAGAACAGTTTCTCTATTTGTGCAGCTCATAGTGTGGTCCTAGTGAGAAGGTTAATAAAGCCTACTCATGTCCTATACAGTAGCCACTAGCCATGTGTGGCTTTTGAACGTTTGAACTGTAGCAAATCCAAATTGAGATGTCCCTTAAGTGTAAAATACAATCAGTTTTTGAAGAATCAGGACAAGAAAAATACCTCGTTAATAACTTTTTATGTTGATTACATTTTGAAATGATAATGTTTGGGCTAACTAAAGTGTATTATTAAAATTAATTTTACTTCATAAAAAGACCAGGCTTACTGGTCTGCAAGAGACTGATGAAACCAAGACTATGGCCCCTAGTCACCTTTAGGGCCTGGAATTGAACTCACGCATATAGCTTCCAGGCAAATGACAGCTAGGCCTATAAGGTGAACATTTACACCAAATAAGTACACTCCTTAGAACAATCAACCATGGAAGATCAGAAGGGCAGTATTTGCATAAGGCAGTAGCTCAGAGGGCAGGAAGTGGGGGAAGGGGGCTGGCGTGGGGTGGGACAGACATCACAGGGAAGAAGTGGGAAGAGAGCTGTTACATTATGGGGATTGCAGTCACTGTCATGAAACAAAATGTTTATCAACTGCTGTATGGAAAATGAATTTGCTCTGTAAACTTTCACCCAAATCACAATAAATAATAATAACATTGAGCACCTCTGGGTTGCCTCAGGGGTGGGGGGAATTAATTTTTGTTGTTACTTTTTACTTATTTTAATATGACTTAGAAAATTAAAAATTACATATGGCTTGCAGTATATTGCTATTGAATAATACTGGTAGTAGATATAAAATGGAAACCAATATTACTATCATAGAGTAAACAAACAAAAAAAGACCTCACTGCCATTGAGTCAGTTTGACTCATAGTAACTCCTCCTTGGGTGTCCGAGGTGGTATCACTACGAAAGTACATTGCCCAACCTTCTTTCTGAGGACTGGCTGGTGGGTTTGAACCACCAGCCTCCTGGTTAGCAGTCAAGTGCCTTAGGCACTATGCTACCAGAAGTTTGAGTACGTTTGTACCACCCAGGGACCCTCAGTGATACAATACTATAATCTATAAGCCTTATTCAGATTTATTGGTTGTTCCATTAATATTTTATTTCTGGTGTAGGATCCAGTCCAGAATCACTGGATTGCATTTAGTTGTCACGTCCTTATAAATCTCCCTTAATCGGGAGCAATGTCTCAACCTTTGTCTTTGATGACCTTGATACTTTTTTCAAGAGTACTGGCCAGCTATTATCTTTCAATTTGGCACAAATACAGCAGAACTGATGTTGTGAATGTCAGCATATCCTGTGCCGAAGGGGCAGGGAAACGCCATCTTCTGACCTCCTCTAACCCCACAAGGGGAAGACAGAATCCCCATCAGTAGCCCAAGGCTTATCCCTGCAAGGCCAGACATGCCGCCTCCCTCCAGCTCTTTCACCAACCCTGGCACCAACTATTCCTTGTAGCACTCACCACCTCTCTGCTGGGTTCAATAATTCGCTGCAGTAACCATACAGAACTCACAGATTATGGGGTTTATTAGGGAAGAAACAGGCTACAACTCAAGTTCAGAAATGCACTGTGTCTCTCTCAGCCCATCACCTCTCAGCCAACAGTCTCTCTCAGCAATGTATGTCTCTCATGTCTCTCAGCCACTAGTGAGAGATATATCTTCTGGTTCTAGGAGGGCTCCTTTTGAACCTGTCAGAGTGGCAAACTAAGCAATCCCAACATCAGAATTCTATAACCTGAGAGAGAGTGACCTTCCCAGAAAGTTACTTGGCACTGCTTGCAACAGAAGTGCCCCAGGTGGATAACTTAACAATCAGGAGCTACTCAGCTGCTCACGGCAAATTCCACCACAGAGTTTACAAAGACTTATGGCTAGAAAAGCCACACTATGTAATTTATTACACTGCATTCCATTATTGGTGAAACTAACTTCTTGTTGTTGTTATGTGCCATCTAGTCGGACCCGACTCATAGCGACCCCTCCTTGGGTTTCCAAGGTAGTATCATTATGGAAGTAGATTGCCCCATCTTCCTTCCGAGGAATGGCTGGTGGGTTTGAGCCGCCAGCCTTCTGGTTAGCAGTCAGGTGCCTTAGGCACTATGCTGCGTAAGAACTCTGCTACTTTCAGAGCTCCTGAAACTAACTTAGAGCACAATTAAAGTGGTATGAGCTAAGTTTTAAAGGAAGAATAGGGATTTACTAGGCAGATAATGCAAGAAAGGGCATTCCAGATAGAAGAATTGGCCTGTGCAAAGGCAGAAAGTAAGAAAGACTTTTTAGTAAACTGTAAATATTAATAATCTCATGATCAGAGGACACTGTGCAGTGGTAGATCATCTGGGCCAAGAGGTTTGGAATTAATGGTGAAGCAGTAGGGAGCCATTGTGGGGTTTTAAATGGGGAAACAGTGGGGTCAGTGATGTTCAGAAGGTGGGATGGAGGCTTGGCGACTTCAGGGTCACATGGTGATTGGAGTGGTGGTGAGGCTGAGAGAAGATTGATAAAGCCTACTCGAAGTTCCTGTCTAGAAATGCGAGTGGTCAGTGTTGCTGGTAACCAACAATGAGGGAGTGCCCTCATTTCAAGAGATGTTATCACTGTCCACCTAGTTATCTAAGTCCCAAGCCTGGAGACCTGGACGATGACTCCTCGCAAGGTCTGTGGCCCTATATCCAAATGACATTGTAAATCCATCTATTTTTCTCAAGCCCATGGCCACCTCCAGTTTTTTTAAACATGGTAGCAATTTCCTACCTACTCTCCTTGTTTTCTGGCTTATTCTCAATGTCAGCCATTTATATAAACAAGGGTGATAAGTTTTAAACACAAAACCTATCCTGTCACTTTCTACTTAAACCTTTTCATTGACTTCCCTTAATTTTAAGATAAAGGATAAACACATACTCTTACTAGAGCCTAAATGGCTCCCTGCAAAGGGACCCTGACACCCTGTCCAGCATCAGCTGTCTCTTCTCTCCCTCACCTAGCCATATGGAACTCCTTTCAGTTTTGTGAACATACCACTTGGTTCACCACCACCCCCATTCTCCTTGCCTTCCCTACAAGACTACAACCTTGGTGAAGGTAAAGAACTGTGACTGTCTTCTTTGCTGCTTTATACCAGCACCTGCCAGAGTAAACATTGCTGAATGTAGAACTTAGTAAATTATGAACACACAAAGAGGAACAGAATTACAGGAGTTCATTTTTAGATAGGTGGCTTTGAGACATCTGTGGGATCAGTTTCTAATTACATGTGTCCAGTAGGCAGATAGAAGTGCATAGCACCTTATAACTACATGTCTGGGTTGGCAACACTACATTTGAAGGCCCCAGGACTCAATTGATAGTTGAAGCTCTAGGAGTAAACGAAATCATGCTTCAGACTTTATCTTGATCCACTGTAAAGTGACATTTTGCATCTTGACCAATATGATAGACATGTCGAGACATATACATTTATATATTTGTAAAACAAATTTCAGAAAACAGTATCTACCTGTCTTCGTGTGACTTGCCTTGATATTTTCTCTTCTTTCTTTCTTTTTTAATGCAGGTTGTTTGCCCCACTAAATTGTTTTCATGACTCACTAATAGGCCATGATGCACACTTCAAAAAATATTTCCCAGTGTAGAATGAGTGGCACCTGGAAGGCAGCCTCCTGACCTCTCAAGGGCTGGGTGGAGGAGGAGGAGGTGACAGAAGCCTGGTCAAAGAGTCAAAAGGAAGGAGTGTGCACATACACATAGGGAATCAGGAACTTTGACCCTTCACAAAGGCCTGACTCACTAATGACATTTGTTTCAGTATAAAATCACTTTTGCCTAGAAATTCATTTGATCTTTCATTTGATAACTTTCTTGGGAGCTGGGTCACCCAATCCCAGCACAGCCACTCACAGAACTTTAAGCCTAGGTTTCCTATCTCTGGAAGACTGACGCCTGTCATCCTTCCTGTGAGGGGGTGAAACTCCACTCCCCACTCCCAACACCAGCCTGACTGACTGCTTTGAAGTTTTCCAAGTGCAGGGGAGCACTTTCTGCTATTTTCAGTGTGTAAAATAGCAGAGATGATTGAAGAAGAGTGTGCTAAGTGGACAGAGAATCTGCACGGCAGCAGATACCAAGTGGCTTACCCGACACTCAAAACAAACTGGTTCAACCCTCTGATACCCAGTGTATTCATCCAGAAAATTAGCAGCTCCCATCTGCCCCATCAGTGTGGTTGGAGGATAAAATGAAATGATAACGTGAAAAATTAAACCTGTAAAATGCTAGGCTAATGTAAGGTGGTGGGACATTGATGGGGAAAGTGGGGAATGAGAGTGAAAGAGAAGAATGGAGGATACTTATCTCTGAAACCAGTAGGTAAAAAGCTTGTGTGTGTGTGTGTGAATGATAGTGTATATATATATATATATATATACACACACACACACACACACACACATATATATATATATAATACTTTTTTAAAGTAACCCCAGTTGGACATCCTGAAATAAATTAATTTCTTCTTCTGTAGAACGCTGAGATTAAAGAAATCTATTTAATCTAGCAGGAGTCTGGGTGGCTCAAGTGGTTTGCACTTGACTACCGTCCAAAAGGTTGCTGGTTCGAACCCAGCCAGCAGCTCCACAGGAGAAAGACCTGGCAATAAGTTTCCGTAAAGATTGCGGCCAGGAAAACCCTATGGAGCGCTTCTACTCTGTGACACTATTCCATGAGTTAGAATTGACTTCATGGCAGCAAGTTTAAGTTGTTGTTGTTGTTATGTGCCGTCAAGTAAGACCTGACTCATAGCGACCCCTCCTTGGGTTTCCGAG